CAGGGCGGAGCTGTGCTGGCTGGTGCGTGAAGGGGGCTGCGGTCTGCAGGTGAGCAGAGGGCAACCCGAAAGGCAGTGTCCCTGTGAACAGAGGGAGGAGTGAGCTGTGAGCTAGAAGGTCCCCTGCCCTGGGCTCTTTCTCTCAGGGACTCACCATGAAAACCTCACAGCTCAGTCTGTGCAGTGTCTCTGCCCTCCCCCCCGCCCCCCCAAGCAACACAAAGCCCTTGCAAGCCAAGGCCACCTCCTAAACCACCTCGTCTCCCCACCGCCCCCACCTCCCCGCACAGGAGCGCCTGGCCTTGCCAGTGGGGGTCCTGCCAGTTCTCATCAGGCCTGGTCCCGGGGGCCTGTCTCTCAGGATCTAGAAAGGGCCCACAGGCACGCGCAGTGGGCACTTGGGCTCAGGAGCTGGAGCCCCGAGCGAGACTGAGGCCCTGATGCTAGAGAGACGTCTCCAGGGTTCAAGGGCGAGCTTGGGGAATTTCTACCAGGGCCCATCCTTGCCCTGTCCCTGCCTGTCTTACACCCCTTCATGAGGAAAGACTGTGAGAAAGCTCTGACAGAGCCGAGTGGGCATGGGGGACCCACTGGGTCCCAGGAGAGGGAAGATTCGCAGGTCACAGCCAGAGGCTGCCTAGCCACCACCGCCAGGGGCAGCGGCAGGAGTGCTGCCTGTCCGTGCTGTGCCTGGGAGAAGACCTGGGCTGCGGCTCCCGCAGTGGAAATGCTCCCGGCCAGGGCCTGTGCTGGGGGTGGACACTCAGTGGGGTGGGGTGGGGCCGAGGTCAGGAGGCTGCCAAGCCTGGTGTGGCACTGGTGGGCAAGCGGAAGCCTTTCTGGCCGCTCGCAGAGATTGGGAAGGGGCATGGCTGTGCTCTGACTGCATGTGGCAGGGTCACAGATTTGACCCAGACCTGGACTTGAGCCCTGGCCCTGCCTCTAACCCTGAGCAGGTCGCCTCACTTAGAAGAAAGGGCCTCCCTGGCCTTGGAGGGAGCAGAGGGGAGAGGAGGGAGCAAAAACTCCCAGCAGGCGGGCTCCCTGGCAGGGTGGACCCCAGGCTGGCTCTGGCCACGGGTTCTGCCCAGCGGGGTGAGTCCAGACCTGCCACCCATTCCCCACCCTGCCTGTGCCCGGTAGGACCAAGATGACTCGGGTGTCTCCCCGCTACACCTGGCCGCCCGCTTCGCCCACCCGGTGCTGGTGGAGTGGCTGCTCCGAGAGGGCCACGCAGCCACGCTGGAGACGCTGGAGGGGGCCCTGCCGCTGCACCACGCCGCTGTCAGCGGGGACCTGACCTGCCTGAAGCTCCTGGCAGCTGCCCACCGCAGGTGAGGGGCTGGGGCACCTCCTGTCGGCAGTCTGGGGGCCTGGCCCCTGGTGAGGCTGCACCCGGGCCAGAGAACAGCTGGTGGCAGGCACACAGGGACAGGACACAGGGATGGGCAAGCCTGGCTGTCCCCACGGCCTCACATGTGTTCCCAAGACCTTGCATCTCAGCAGTGAATAGCATTCTTATTCCTGCCCCTCTCCCCATTCCCACCCCTTGGTGAAGGCCTTTGGGACTTGCCTCACAGATCTTCCCCAAAGTGTCCACACTGGCCACGGAGTCTCTTAGACCCACAGTTTTTAAAGTAGTTTCTGCCATTTGAAAACTGAGAGACTTCACATTAAAACATACGCACACACATATGCACACATGCACATACACATGCACACGTGCACACACACACACACACAAATGGGAAGGACTGTGCCCCAGAGGCCAACATCCCACTTGGCACCACTGCAGGAGCCAGAGGTGAAGTCTGTGTCACCAGGGGATAGGGGTCAGCCTTGGGAAGGGGGTGGCTCCTCCCTGCAGCGAGTCACTGGCCCTGCAGCAGGTGGAGGCAGAGGGAATTCGGGAAATCCCAGGACCTGCTCCATTCCATTCACACCGGCCCCAAATGCCAGGCCCGAGTGCCCATGGATGGGATGGATGTCTAGTGTCCGGCTCACAATGTTCCCTTTTACAGGGTAGGCTCAGCTCTGAGTTCACTGACCTGCCTGCTGCAGGTCCCTGGGCTAGTCACCCTGAGGCGCCCCCTGCTGGCCAACTCCAGAGGCACACAGCTCGATGGGGAGTGGGTGGAGCTGGATTCCAGCAGCCAGAACCCTCATCCCTGTGCAAGCCTACAGGTGACTGGCTGGGACCCCCTCAGCGGGTAAGGGAGCTGGAGCTGGCCAGTGCCGGACCTCCCCTCCCCTCGATCTGGGTCCTCAGCTGGATCAGTCCCACTCCCACCCCTGTGACCCTGGCCAAGCGCCCTCTGAACCTCGCCCTCCTCCACAGCAGCGTGAACCGGCGGACACGCAGCGGCGCCTCCCCGCTGTACCTGGCCTGCCAGGAGGGCCACCTGCACCTGGCCCAGTTCCTGGTGAAGGACTGCGGCGCCGACGTGCATCTGCGCGCCCTGGACGGCATGAGCGCGCTGCATGCTGCCGCCGCCCGCGGACACTACTCTCTAGTTGTCTGGCTGGTAAGGGGGACCGGGTGGGGACAGGGGAATCCCCAGAAGACTGGCCCCTGCTCCTGCCTACTCCCCAGAGTCCCTCCCAGCAAGCAGGGCCTGGCTGCGGTGGGGGGCCCACCCCCTGGATCTGTCTGCCCACCGCAGAACTGGGGACCCACAGGGCTGTTGGGGATGGGATGTGTCCGCCCATCGCTCCCAGCAGCCTGGGCAGCAGGCTCAGGCAGGGCCCGGGATGCAGCCTCGAGTGCACAGCTCCAGGCTGAGACTGTGAACCCGGCATCAGCAGCCCTTCCCCACTCCCCAGGGGCCTCCTCCCCAGCCCTTCCAGCAAGCCAGCCTCACTCCCCAGGGGCCTTTGCACATGCTGCCCCCTCTGCCCGGCAGGCAGCTCCTCAGGGCTCCTCCACTGCCTGCCTGCCCACCTGGCTAGGATGGCAGCCACCCTGTGCCCAGCCCTCTGCTCTCCTGCCGTCTTTCCTCCATGGCACCAACACCCGACACACTAATTCTGACTTCTTTATCTTGGTGGTTGTCTGTCCCCACCCTGGGAGGCAGGGCCTCACCTTGGTACAGGCCAGGTCTCCTCCTGGGGTCCTCCTGCCAAGTGACCCCTGCTCCGGAGAAAGCCCTGAGGCTCTCCAGCTGTCACCCCCTGACAGTCTGGGGCGTTGTCCTTATATTCCCTCCCTGTAGGTGTGAGCCCATCCATTTCAGACCTTGGCCTCCCCTCACCTGGATGATCCTGGGCCCTGGTGGGTCCTGGCCGTCTCTGGCAGCAGGGCCACGCATAGCAGGTGCTTCGCATATGAAGTGAGCCAGCAGGCTGTGTGGTGCCCAGGACAGGTGGGCAGGAGGGAAGAGGGACCTCTGAGCCCCCCAGAGCCCCCCAGAGGCTCACCCCAGGGAGGGAGCAGCTGGGGCCATGGGGCCCCGGACCAGAAAGGCCTTTCCAGATGGACTCCCTGCCCCCCTCCCTGTAGGATGGCCAGGGGGAGGGCAGCCTCCATCCAGCCTGGCCCACCAGCTCCAGGGTGGGCACCCTTGCCCTTGGGGTGCTGGCTGGTGGGAGGCCTCTGTCCCTCACAGACATGGCTGAGGGTGGGATGAGTCAGCAGTGCTTTGCGCTGCAGGTGACGTGTGGACCAAACAACCAAAGCCCGTCCCTCCTACAGAAGGAGCAGGAGGCCGGTGACAGTGGATCAACCCCGTGGGCTTGTCTCTGCTGTTCCCTGGCCTTTCCCCCGGGGTGAAAGTTGGCCGCATTCAAGGCAGGAAGAGGGAGTAAAGGGGGCACCCACATCCACCAGCCTCTTCCTTCAGGAAGGCAGGGTGTTCCTGGAAGAGGCCCTAACGTCTTGTTGGCAGACTAGGTCATCCTGTCCCGAGGCCACAGTTCAGTGTGCCCATAGAAGTGGGTGGGCACCTCAGGGTCTGCCCCTCGCATCCCCCCATGGCAGCTGGGTGCTCTGGACCAGAGACCACTGGTGCCCTCACAAAGGTGGTTGCCAGCAGGACAGGGCCCAAGCCACAGGATGACCAGGGTCCGAGTCCCGTGCTCTGAGAGGCCGACAGGACCCGCTGCCCAATGTCCCCCGCCTGCATCTGTGCTGGGGGAGCTCAGGGCCCAAATGAGCCCAGTGCCAGAGGCTGTAGACATGTTTGTGGTCTCCTAGGTGCCCTCGAAGCGTTTTGCTCATTGGATGTGTGAAACCCGCCCTGGAGGTGTTCTGCTTAAGATTTGGGCTGGGGCGGATCTGGGGACTGGAGGCTCCCAGTAAAACCAGATCTCACCCCCCAAACACTGTTCTGGAGGTGCCAGGCCCTGGGATGATGACAGGCTGAGTGTGAGGAGCCAGCTCTGTCCCAGGGCTTCCTGGGGAGTGGTGCCCCGGCCCCCAAGGTCATCTCCCAGGGCTCCATGTCCTCCTCCTGGTGGCCATCCCCAGGAGTGGTCACCCCATCCAGCCTCACCTGGCCCCCCTTTCTCCTTTCTCCAGGTCACCTTCACTGACATCGGCCTGACCGCACGGGACAACGAGGGGGCCACAGCCCTCCACTTTGCAGCACGAGGTGGCCACACACCCATCCTCGACCGGCTGCTGCTGCTGGGCGCCCCCATCATGAGAGACTCCTGGGGTGGGACCCCCCTGCATGACGCCGCAGAGAACGGACAGATGGAGGTGAGGCAGCGCCGGGGGACTTCTGTTTAACTCATTAGTCAGTGAGACCTGGGAATTCAAAGTGACTATACCCACACACACATACTTACCCTCCACGGTGAGGGATGAGGAGGCGAATACACAGATGGACGGGAACAACCCGGTCGGTGTGGCAGGCAGGTGACCGACTGATTGCACTGCATCAGACACAGACATCCTGCCTTTCTCCGGACAAGAGTCACTTGTGGTGCAGTGTTTTGCAACCTACAGGTACTGCCTCAAAGGCAGTGAATGAGAGCAGAGTTAGTGCAGAAAGCATGTGCCTGGGGCACTCAGTAAGGACTATTTTACTCATTTAGGTGCCTTTCTGATTCTCCCCGATGTGCCCATTGGGCTGTGTCCTCTGTTCCATTGCACCTGAGCATTTACAGCAAAATGCACACTTGTTACATTATATCTTTCTCTCTTCTCGTGTATGTTAGAGTTAGAGGGGAGTACTAATCATTTTAAAAGTATCTGTGCAGCCCGGCCAGTGTGACTCAGTGGTTGAGCGTCAACCTATGAACCGGAAGGTTATGGTTCGATTCCTGATCAGGGCACATGCCCAGGTTGCAGGCTTGATCCCCAGTGTGGGGCATACAGGAGGCAGCTGATCAATGATACTATCATCATCATTGATTGTTTCTATCTCTCCCTCTCTGAAATCAATAAAAATATATTTAAAAAAATAAAAAGCACGTGTGCAGGTAAATTATAGCATACTCGTATATGGAGTTCATTTTAGAATCCTGAATGAGGCGTCAGGAAACATTTGTGATAAAAAGGGGGCACTGGGACTGACATTAGGAATGGAGGACCCTGGACTAACTCATGCTCAGGGTGCCTTGCAGCCCTGTGTCCTCTGATGCTGCTCGGTCTGGGGTAATAGTTAAGGTCATGGGTTCTGAGAGCCGTTGCTCTGCACCCAGGCTGCCTACTTCCTGGTGTCTGAACTTGTGAGGCCTCTTATCCTTCCTGGTGCCTTGTTTCGTCTTGTGTAATACGGGCCCCTAAGCCCCACGGGGCAGGGGGTCAGGAGCTGTGAGGAGGCCCAGGTGTCTACCCAAAATGGTGCCTGGCACAGTGAGGGACTAGGGGAAGGCCTCACTGCCCCATCTCTGGGACAAGCTACCTCCGGGGGGTGAACATGATGGTTCCCACAGTCCCGACTGTGAGAGAGCTGGTGGGGGGGTGAGCAGTGAAGGGAGAGGCCAGAATGGGATGAGGTTGCTGTTTTTAATGTGTTTTATGTCTACAGTTTTCAAAAACCTATATGACATCATTACTTTTTATTCAGTACATGAATAAAGACATATTCAAACATACCCACAGATCCCCCCCTTTTCCTCTCAGGCCCATTCCTTCCGGCTACTTGGGACCCCACGTGGAATTCCTTTCCCTCAGTCTGAGTGAATGTTTTAGACCAGCCGTGGGCAAACTACAGCCCGCAGGCTGGATCTGGCCCGTTTGAAATGAATAAAACTAAAAAAGGAAACAGACCGTACCCTTTTATGTAATGATGTTTACTTTGAATTTATATTAGTTCACACAAACACTCCATCCATGCTTTTGTTCCGGCACTCCAGTCCAGTTTAAGAACCCATTGTGGCCCTCGAGTCAAAAAGTTTGCCCACCCCTGTTTTAGACGGTTCCTTCGGCTGGGTTTGCTTCTTGTTTCTTTTTGTTTGTCTGGAAACATCTTTATTTCATCTTCAGCACATTTTTGCTGGGTAGAGAACGGTAGCTTGGCAGTTTTTACATATTGGTGCTTTGAAAATGTCATTCATCACTTTCTGGCTTCCACCAAGAGGTCTGCATGGGGGTCACTGTTTGAAGATCATATTTTCCCCTCTGGCTGCTTTTTTAAAAAAATATATCTTTATTGATTTCAGAGAGGAAAGGAGAGGGATAGAGAGTTAGAAACATCGATCAGCTGCCTCCTGCACACCCCCTTCTGGGGATGTGCCCATAACCGAGGTACATGCCCTTGAGCGGAATTGAACCTGGGACCCTTCAGTCCGCAGGCCGACGCTCTATCCACTGAGCCAAACTGGTTAGGGCCCCTCTGGCTGCTTTTAAGATGCTCATTGTGTCTGGTCTTCTGCTGTTTCGCTGTGATAGGACCAAGGTGACGGCTCCTACTCAGGACTGGTTGGACTTCTCGAGTTTGTGCTTGGTGTTTCCATCTGTCAGTCAAGTTCTCAGCCGTTCCCTCTTCAGGCACGCCCTCTGCATCCACTCTGTTGTCTCTCATTCTGCATTTTCGTCCTGGCTGTAGCTGCTGGATTTCTATCTTCATCTTTCTGTCTGGCTGTGCTGTATTCTGGATTGCTTCTTCAGGCCCATTTCCTGTTTACCAGGTCTTCAGCTTCAGTCTTTAACTTGGTTATTATTTTTACTAGAGGCCTGGTGCACGAATTCGTGCATGGGTGGGGTCTGCCTGCCCCAATAGCGCGGATCAGGCCAGGCTGGCCAGGGGGAGGGGACACAGTAGGTTGGCCGGCCAGCTCTGCCCCTGGTCGAACTCCCTGTTGAACTCCCATTCCAGGGGACAATTTGCATACTAGCCTTTTATTATTTAGGATGTCCTCCACCTTGAATTAGTCATTTTTCAAATCTACATGTGTCCATTTTTATGGTTTATCATTCCATGCCTGTACTTTGCAGCTTGGTCTTTATTTCTTTGAAAGTTGTAAGCCCGGTTGCATTGCAGTCGGTTAGTCTGTTTCTGCAGGTCGGTTTGTTCGTGTTCTGGTCTCCTTTCTGGTGCTCCTGGTCTTGTGGACTGTACGATGCACATTATATTTGAGAAATGATTTGCAGGAGTCATTTGAGGCCCGGGATGTTGTCTTGATTGCCTCTGCCTGTCAGCATATGTGTGACTTGCGAGCCCAGAATCATCTGAGTCCGCGTTCCAGGTGTGAGGCTGCCTGGAGCCCCTGCGTGATGGGGAGCGCGGGCTGGCTGGCTCTGGTTTACTCTCCTCCGAGGGGAGCCCTCAGCCTGCAGCGGCAGGTGGGGAGTCAGAGCCCACCTTCCGAGGCCCTGGTTTTTGCTGGTCTCCCTCCTCCCAGGAGGCTGCAGGGACCGCCCAGGTCATGACTTTCTCCCGCATCAGCGCTCTGAGTGCTGGGCTTATCCCTCCGACTCCTGTCTTCTTCTTGGCCGGATGATTCCTCGCTTGCTTGTTGCCTCTTCTCTGCTTCAGGAAGGTGACTTTCATGTCTCGTCCATCTTTTGCGTTTCTGGGGAGTGGATGGGTCTCACCCACCTGCTCCCTGACCTGGGTCGTTCTGCCCCCCTGTTTGTGCTGCTGGCACAGCCACCTCACAAAAGTCCAGACTTTGGTCTGTCCCAAGTCCCTCTGGGTCCCAGCTTCTTCATGGGAACATGGCACGCCCCTCTGAGCGTGGCTGTAAAAGTGGAAACTGGTTCTGTAGTCATAGCCCAGGACGTGGGCTACAAGGGCAAGGGGCAAGGTCGGGGTCAGGCTCCGAGCGGGGAGGACCCCCGCCATGCCACCTTCTTATCACCTGAGCCCTCAGCGAGCTCCTTACCTCGGGACCTGGGTTCCCATCCAGGATGGGGTGCTGGTACCTGCAGGGCTTGGTGCCAGACAGGGCGGCTGTGCGTGCAGGGAATGCTGGGATTCTCAGGTAGGTTCCTCAGATGTTGGCAGCCTCAGTGTCGCACCTGGAGCTGGGGTGTGGTGCCGGCCCGCCATGGTGCCTGGTGGGTACTGTGGGATCGTCTTGTGGGCCATGGGTCACCTGTGCCCCTCCCTGCAGTGCTGCCAGACCCTGGTCTCCCACCGCGTGGACCCCTCCCTGCGGGATGAAGATGGCTACACGGCGGCAGACCTGGCGGAGTACCACGGACACCAGGACTGCGCCCAGTACCTGCGGGAGACGGCCCGGCCGGTAAGTCTCAGGGTCTCCAGTCACCCTAGCTGGGGTGAGGGTGAAAGCCTCCCCCCGACAGACCAGTTAGCTAGAAAGCTCTATGTACACCATGTCATTGGCAGAAAAAAGGTTCCGGGCCAGGACTGAGCCAGCCCCACAGGTCAGCTAGCTGGGCGCTGGGACTAAGGATGAGCCAGCAGTCATGACTGGGCAATGACCAGTCCTGTGACAGGGGCTGTGGTGGGGGCTGTGGTGGGGGCTGTGGCAGGTGCTGTGGCAAGGGCTGTGACGGGGGCTGTGGTGGGGGCTGTGACAGGAGCTGTGACGGGGGCTGTGGTGGGGGCTGTGGCGAGGGCTGTGACAGGGGCTGTGGTGGGGGCTGCCATCTACCTGGACCAAAGAAACCATGCTTCTGACTCTGGACCCCCATGGCCAGTGCTCCCAGGGGTGATGTTGTGTCAGCTGAGGTTACCCACGGGTGGGAGCAAGACATTGGGTTCCTGGTGAGCTGACCCTCATGAGGCCCAGCCCGCCCTGTCAGCCCAGGAGGCAGCAGCCTCCAGTCCCCCCTCCTGCCTAGGTGTGTGACCATGACCCTCCCTGAGCCACTTCCCAGTCTGTGAGGACAGAAGCCTGTCCTGCTGGCCCCATCCCCAGCACATGGATGGATATAAGGGCGTGGATGGACAGATATCATGGTGGATGGACAGATATGTGGGTGGGGGTGGACAGATATGTGGGTGGACAGCAGTTTAGTCAGCATGGACTCAGGCTGCCTCCCACCCCGCCTTTCCAACCTGCCACTTCTCCTTGGTGGGCAGCCCTGGGATGGCTGGACCCCATTTCAGCTGACAGCCCTGAGGCCCAGCGAGCTGACATGCCCCTGTGCCAGGTCGCGCGCAGCGCTGCTGTGCCTCCTCGTCCTTCAGGCCGTCAGGCCTCGTGCAGGCAGGGCTGCAGTCCTCCCTGGCCCTGGGCCTTGGGACATCCTCACCCAGCCACCACCGGCCAAGGTTCAGGGCCGCTCAAGTGCTCTGGGGACCCGCCGGTGCCCTGGTTTGTCCTGGCGGCGTAGTTTCAGAAACAAGAACTACAGGTCGGCTGAAGTAATTTACTAATCATTTTACTAAGCATTCGGTGTTTGGTTAAAGGTCGTTTCCCTGGCTTGGGTTGGAGGACTTGGTGGGCCTCAGTGAGTTGCTAATGTGGTGGGTGGAGCTTCACTGTCCATCCGCTAGGGGTGCCCGGCCACCTGGGTCCCGCCCGGCCCCTATGTGGTCACTGGGTCAGCCTGGCAGCTGAGATGAGGAGGCTGGTGGGTGGCTGCTTGGCTGCCAGGGAGCAGGTTCCACCCTGGGTTCCTTGCCCGTCCCCCGCCAGCCACACTGCCATGCCCATGGCCAGGGCTTGTCCAAGCAGGTCTCTGCCCCCACCCGCCATTCCCGCTCCTGCACATCTGCCAGCTCCTCCAGCCACTGGGTCCCCCTCTCTGAAGTGAACGGGGCTCATGGGTGCTCTCCTGACACCTGGGATGTGGGGAACCGGCCCATCTCAGGTTACCTGGTGGTTCTTCGGGTCCTGGCTGGCTTCTTGGTGACACCACACGATTCAAGGCAGCAGATTCCCCAAACCAGCCTGGGCTACGTGTGCAGGCCCCCAACCGACATGCAGGCCTGTGGCACCCAGCCCATCCACACGCTCCACCTATGATGGAGAGTGGGTGGGCTTGTCTGCCTCCTTCCGACCCCAGCCCCTCCGGCCTGCGTCTGGGCTGACGGCTGGCACGGCGCATTCAAATGCAGACCCTTGGCTTTGAGCTGGTGTGTCCAGTGAGCTTCAGGAGCCCGTTTGGGTCTCAGGGTTGGACCTGGGGCCTCTCTCTTCTCCCTCAGTGAGCACCGGGCAGCAGGGGGTGCTAGCCACTCACCACTGGCTGGACTGTTCCCGCACCAGGACTCCTGCCTCACACTTGCAGGGTGCAGGCTCCGCCCTGCGGGAGGGCGCCGTCAGCTGGGGGCCGAGGCCCGGGAGGCTGATACAATATTGATGGAAACGCAATATCCAGAGGTCACCTGCGCTGGCCTCTTCCCATGTCAGGCTCGGAGGAGGTGGTGAAAGCCACAACCACGGGTCCCAAGAGAGGCAGCCCGGGGACCGAGGCTGGACAGGTGGAGACAAGACTTGCCCTGTGGGAGGGGTCCCTTCGTGCGCTGGTCTGCAGGACAGTGGGGCCCTGCATGCTGCTGTGGAAGTGCAGGCCCTGCCTCGACCTCTCCACCTTGACTTTTGCCAAGTCCTTCTGCTCCCTGGGCAGCCCCTCTGCACACTGAGGGGTGGGGCACGGGCTAGAGGGGCCCCCTCACCCTGACTCCCTCTTCTGAGGCCGGGTGTGAGTGAGGTCCTGGTGGCAGCAGTTAGGAGCAGCAGCCCAGGGTGGCAAACCAGGATCCCCCACACCTCCATGGCATCCACTGTCCTATTGCCCCTGCCCCATCCTCATTACCACCAAGATTAGAGCGACTCTGCCCAGCAGGTGGTGAGTATCTCTGAGCCTCGATTTTCTCATCTATAAAATGGGATTGAGGAGCCTAGTTGCAGGGTAAAAGAGACACCCATTAACCACCCAGCAGGCACCATCCTCACCACCACCCCCCACTCGCAACCCCCGCCAGGTTCAGAAGGGTCCTAAAACCCCTTCATTTTACAGATGGGGAAACTGAGGCCCGGAGAGGGCAAGGCCTCCCCCGGAAGCCTCCTCCCCAAGGGAGGGGCCTGGCTGAATCTCAGCCGTGGTGACCGGTGTCCAGCCCAGCTGCGGGTCATGATTTTGCCGGCCGGGTGGCATTACAGGCCTGTAACCCGGCTCGACAGCTGTCCTCAATGTATAATGCATGGTCGGCACAGCACTGCTCAAATCTCACCAAAAACACAGCAGAGGACACTGCAGGCCATGGGAAAGGCGCCAGCCTTGGGGCAATTGCCCAACCTGGGGGTAACATGCCCACTGTCAGGAGCCCACAGGTCGGGACCGTCTGCCGCTTCTTCTGGTCCTTGTAGATCTGGTTCCTGTCCAGGCCGAAGTGAGGAATGCAGGGATGTGGGCCGCCCATTGCCGGGGAAACATGGCAGCAGGCCCCTGTCCTAGCTGAAACTCAGAGGTCACTGTGACACTGCAGTGACGAGGTCTGTGCCAGGCTCTCTCCTTAACTCCTAGCACCTGCAGAGTTCTTCCAGGAAACTGAGGCCCAGGCCACCGCCCCAGAGCTGCTCCTTGGAGCAGTGAGCAGGATAAAGCCCCCGGGACAGGGTGGCAGAGGCCCCCCAGCTGCAGTTGCTGCATGGAGGCCCAAATCCATTCTCCTGGGTCCCCGAGCAAGTTCCAGCTCCCTACCTCTTCCACTCTCGTCCCATAAAGGGCAGCTGCCATCCCAGCTGTGCCCGCACACTGCCAGGGGGAGGGGAGGTCTTGCCCCTCCCCCAGAGCAGATTCCATTGGGCTCTCAGGATGGCTGCGAGCAGGGCCGGCAGGCAAGCCCACAGCCCTGTCCTGGCTGAGTGGGGCCAGGCATTGGAGTGGCCCTTTGGTGAGGGCCCCTGCTCAGCCCTCCTCTGTCCATCAGCCTGTCACCACAAACCACTATAGCAGCGGTTCTCAACCTGTGGGTCGCGACCCCTTTGGGGGTCGAACGACCCTTTCACAGGGGTCGCCTAAGACCATTGGAAAACACATATGTAATTACATATTGTTTTTTGTTTTTAATCACTATGCTTTAATTATGTTCAATTTGTAACATGAAAATACATCCTGCATATCAGATATTTACATTATGGAGAACCACTGCTCTATAGCTTTGCCTTGGGGCCCGGCATCTGACCGACCCTGTTTGCAGCTCCTAAGCCGGGCTCTGTCTGCCTCATGGACGCTGGAGGAAGACATGAGACTTTTGGGTCTGCGGCACGGGGTGAAGGGCAAGCGTCATGTCTTGTTGGGTCCCGTTGCCCCCAAGTCCCAGGGTTGTGTGATATGGGCCCAGATGGCTGCTCTGCGCCCAGGAAGTTTGCATCACAGCCGAGGACCCCAGAGCCTGGGCAGCCCCGGTGTATAGCAAGCGGTAAGCAGCCTGCACCTCTGTCTGGGTCCCCGCTGCAAACACGACCCTGAGAAATGCCAGGAAAAGAGCAGCCAGGATGTGGCATCCTTACTAGGTGCGAGAGGCCCACCGCCTGCCTCTTCCTCCACCGGGTGCCCCTGGGCCCAATCACAGAGCAGTGACTCGAGGGGCTCCAGTCCTGGCAGGGGCAAGGACTGGGGACCCAGCTCCGCCTTGTCCCAGCTGCTGGGCCCTGAGAAAGCCCCTTGCCCTCTGTGCCCGGGGCTGTCCTGGGGGTGCAGGTACTGCACTGAGGGATGATGACGCTAGGTGGTCTCTCCCTCTCACGTGACCGGGATCTCAGGTGCCCCACCTCCCCGGAGGGTCCGCTTCCCTGGGTCCTGCACTGTGGAGGGTTAAGGTGCAGGGTAAGGGATCCCACATGCGGCCCCAGCCCGCCTGGCCACCTGACACCTCTGCCTTCAAATATTCATGCGACGCCTCCCATTCCGGGGGCAGCAGCTGTGACAGCCCCGACAGCCCAGGACACCACAGCTCCCTGCTCGCAGCCCAGCCCCTACGCCCACAGGTCCTCCCGGCCGGGCAGACCACCCCTGTACCTGCTGCAGCTCCCCAACTGCTGTGCTCTGGGGCTCCCGGATTCCTGCAAGGAGCGAGGTGTGAGGTGGGTGGTGGCCGGGCAGATGGGGTTCAGGCTGTGTTCCTGTCCAGTGGCCATGGCGGACGGAGGGTCCTGGATAGGCATGTGACTTGGAGCCGAGGCAGTGGGTGAAGACGTATGGTGAGGGCTCCCCATGCAAGGCTCTGTGTGAAGTGAAAATGCAGGCCCCTCGCCTTTTAAACAGGAAGAATTGCAAGGCAGAGCTGGCCGCGCATCACACCGAGCTGCAGCGTGGGCCCCGGCCCGGCCACGCATCCCGCATGGGCTCATTTCACCAGGTCCTCGTCCTCTGACTCTCTCCAGCACCCACCAGGGGCCCACTGGCGGGAGGGGTGCGGAGCTGCGGTCTGCTGGCCAGGGCAGGGTGCTTGGAGAGAAGGCAGTGTGCAGCCCTACAAGCTGAGACGGAATGGGGCAGCCTCATGCCAGACGGCACCGAGGCACATTGGCCCTGCAGGACCCCAGGCGTCCACCAGCTGAGAGACGGGGCCAGACAGCCTTCAACTTTCAGCTTTAAACCAAAAGGCTCTGGGGTCCTGGGGGACAGCTCAGGTGTCCTCCTGGAGAATTTCTGTGCCACCTAAGTCGGCACAGGCAGAGGTGAGAGGTGAGCACAGTCCTGCTGCTGGCATTACCTGCTGTGTCAGGGCAGCCTGCATGCCTGGGACCCCTGCTCACCCAGCCCCATGAGTCCACCCATCCAGGAGTCTTGGCTCCCGATGGTCCATGCCAAAGCTGAGGCTGACCAAGGCTGAGCTGGGGGGTGAGGAAGTGGGGTGCGGGGGGCACCTCCAGGCCAAAACTCTTTCTGGCTGCTTACCCGTCAGCACTTGGGGGCGGAGCGGTGGCCAAGGACAGGATTGTGCCCTGCCCCAGACACGGGGCAGGTTGTGGGGGTGACTGGGGGTGACCCAGTAGCCCCCAGCATGGATTCCCAGACCCCAGGCTCCCAGGGCCAATCTTGGTGTCTGTTTCCAGGCAGCCCAGGGAGGGCAGCCTAGACACTGCTGGTAGGTCTTGGGCACAGTAGCCCGCCCTGAGGTGTGGTCAAGCGTATGGCCCCTGCTTGTGGCTAAGAAGAGTTCCTTGTGGTTTCCCCCTAAGCCCAGGGACCAGGCACCTGCTCTTCTCCGAGGGGACCATTCCAGGTGGTTCGTCTCAGCACAGAAGTCAGGGGCAGTCTGAGGGGGAGGAGTGGTGGTGGTGGTGTGTGCGCACCTCTCTTGTGAGCACAAGCTGGACACCAGGTCCAGACCCAGCAATGCAGCTGCCGAGTTAAGCTGCCTCTAGAGCAGTGGTTCTCAACCTTCCTAATGCCGCGACCCTTTAATACAGTTCCTCATGCTGTGGTGACCCCCAATTTCATTGTTACAAATTGAACATAATTAAAGCATAGTGATTAATCACAAAAACAATATGTAATTATATATGTGTTTTCTGATGGTCTTAGGCGACCCCTGTGAAAGGGTCGTTCGACCGCCAAAGGGGTCATGACCCACAGGTTGAGAACCACTGCTCTAGAGTAAGCCCATGAGCTGGGCCTTGAGATAGGGATTCTCTGGTGTTGGTGGTGGAGGCACTGGGGGGCACAGTGAGTGGTGGCACTCTGACAAGTGGGTGGGTATTTGGGAGCCCTGGTCACCCGGTGTGGAGGGAGTGGAGAGACATGGGGGACAGAACCTGGAGGGACACTTGACCCCCTCCAGGCCTTTCTAAGATGCACGAGATGGGCCAGGCTAGCCTGAACACCCCTCACCTCACCTGGGCCTCCCGCTGACCAGGTCTGTCCACCTCCAGGTGCCGCTCCTGATGACACCTCCGCCCCCACCATTCCCCCCTCCTCCACTGTCGGCTGCGAGGCGCTCCCCAGAGGATGGAAGAGGGGGCTCAGGTCTCAGGAGCCCCACCTGTGAGTACACTTCTCCAGGGAGACGGGCCTGGGCCGTGGGTGCCAGGAGCGGGCACTGCTGGCCTCACCCCCGAGGGCCTTTGAGGGGGGAGGGAAGGGGGTAGCTGACTCCAGGCAACTGTGCTCAGGATACTCAGGACCTGGTTGGGGTCACCCCCTCCCACTGCCCAACCCCCAGCTTCTTCCAGGTTTCCTTTGTTGTTTTAAAGTGAGACCAATTAAACAGCCTCCTGCCCAGCAGGGTCCCTCTGTGAGCTCTGGGCCCCTGGGGCCTGACTGCCCTGCCTGTGTGGTGATGGGAAGCCCCCTCACCCCCTGGGCCTCTGTAGTCCTGAGGGGAATCCCCTACAGACACACTGCTGCTGCTGTCTGGACACCTCAGGGACAGGGACACAGTCCTTACACTGCTCCCCACCGGACCTGCACTTATCAAAATGGAACGGAGCGGCTGAGAAATGCTCACAGGCCCCTGCGTAGTGAGGCGGCAGCAGTTCATGGGGTACATTGTCGCCAGGCAGGACTGTGTGGCCGGGTGTGATGCAGAATGTGTTTCTCATCAGGGTGGGGCCCTGGTGTGTGCCCCTGTGTGGGTTCAGGGCATTGAGGGTGGGACAGCACAGGCTTTGTGACTCAATGGGCGGCATCAGGACCCCAGACCACTGGCTGTAGCAGGACTGGGGAGGGTGAGAACTGGCCGCGGAATGGGACGATCACAATAAAATGCAGGCTCTCCAACCAGCCAGCCTGTGCACGCCCCTGGGTGCTTCTGGGAGAAGCGGGGCTAGCTGGGTCTTTGGCTCCAAATCCAATATCCTTCAGGGAGGCTGGCACTACCCCAGGTCCCAGGTGTTCTGCTCCCCAGGCCCCTGCCCTGGAAGCCCCTCTGACTCCGTTCCCCCTTCCACCCAGCAGCAGCGTCTCTCAGCCCCGCCTGGCCTGGCCAGTCTGACCAGCCTCTTCCGAGGGAGCAGATGACCCACGCAGCTGCCCTGGGGATCAGCACCAGCGCCCTGGTTGTCACTACGGTGCGTCCTCACCATCCACATCTCTGTCTCCCAAGGCCCCCAGCCTACTCTCGGAGCCCAGCCAGTGTCCTCTGATGTGACCCAGGCCAGGTCCCTTCTGGGCAGCCAGGCCCTTCCTCACAGGAGGGCGTCAGGTCGAGCCTGGGGCGCGGGCTGGCTCTGGAGGACACCGTGGTTCTGAGGAGATGGGAATTTCAGGGCCACAAGCAGCTTATCATCCCAGCACAGAAGGCATGGAACCCTTCTCTTACCCCAGTGAGTCCAAGCTCCCCCCTCCTGACCTCTGAACTCAGGATGCTTCACCCCCCTCCAAAAGCGCTGCTGGCATGATAGAGAGAAGCAAACATCCAGGAGAGGGCGGGCCTGGTGCCCGCTGTCCTCCTCCTCAGAGCTCTCAGCCAGCCCAGGACCCATGGGGGAGCGGGAGGCCCACTTCCTTTCTTGCCCTCTTTCTGGGCAGGAGGCCCTTACAATCCTGCCCACCGCTCCTTGAATGGGTCCTGGGAACTCCCAGGGGCTGAGATGTCCTGTGCCAGTTTGGGAAATGCTGCACAGTGCTGCTCTCTCTTGGAGAGTTATGGGGGAGCGGGCGGCGGCAGGGACCCCTTGCAAGTCCTGCAGTCCAGAATTGGCCCTGGCAAGTCCTGCAGTCCAGAATTGGCCACCAGACTCTGTCTATGCAACTGTTCTGCAAACTTGTTTGCCCATCTGCATGGCTTACTCCGAGCAACTTCTTCCCGGCCAGACACAGCAGAGCTGGAGGAATCTCTCCTTGCCTCTCACCCAGCGATTCCCCACCACCCACGCCCCCTACCACAGCGGGCACTGCGGGTTCCTGCTCTCAGAAAGCTCACACTTCCTAGACTGGGTGTGCTGTCCTTGGTCTCCCCGCCCTCCCTGCCCAGCCCCCACCGCCCCTCCTCCCTAGGCTGTGCTGGTCCCAGGTGGCCCGCCCTTCCTCTCCCTGGCAGGGCCCCCTAGAGGCCCTGAATTACCTGCTCTTGTTCGCCAGGGGGCAGAGACAGCGGCAGGGGATACCCCCCAGGGCCTGGCCGCACTACAGCTGGATGGACTGCCCTCTGGCGACCTCGACGGGCTGGTGCCCACGCGTGATGAGCGCGGCCGGCCCAAGCCAACTAGTTTTCTAGCAAGTTTGTTATTTTTAAATTTATTTTTAAAATACATTTTTATTGATTTTAAAGAGGAAGGGAGAAGGAGAGAGAGATAGAAACATCAATGATGAAAGAGCATCATTGATTGGCTGCCTCTTGAACATCTCCCACTGTGAATCGAGCCCACAACCCGAGCATGTGCCCTTGACCGGAATTGACTGACCCTGCCCGGGAAGCTCAGGTGGGGCTGGGCCAGTGGGATGGGGAGAGAGGGGCGGAGCCAGGAGGGGAGGGGTGGAGCCAGAGGATAGGGGCGGGGAGGGCGGGAGCTTTGTCCTGGCAGGTGAACATGGAAGGTGGGGTCTTGAGGCAGAATGGGTTGGCCCAAGGGAGGACCAGGAGGAGGCAGGAGTGGAGCGAATGAGGGAGGTGGGCAGAGGTGAGGTCAGAGAAGGGACAGCAGATATTACAGGACCTCTCGCTGCAAGGCCTCAGGGGAGCCTTTGGAAGTCTGAGCAGAGCCCTGGCTGGTTGCTCAGTGGTTAGAGCGTCCGCCCAAGGACCCAATGGTCACAGGTTCATTCCAAGGGTCCATACAGGGCACATACCTCGGTTGTGTTTGCATGTTCGATCTCTGGCCCTGGTCTGGTTGGGTTTAGTGTGTCACTCTCACATCAATGTTTCTCTCTCCCCGTCTCCTCCCTCCCTTCCACTCTGTCTGAAAATCAATGGGAAAAATATCCTCTGGTGAGGATTAAAAAAGAAAAGAAAATCTGAGCAGAGAAGGGCTGTGGTTTGAGGTGGACTTTGGCAGGCTCCCTCTGCCTGCCGTGTGGACAGTAGTCCTGGAGGCCTACCCTGGAGGGACACGGTTTTGTCTGAATGAGGTGCTCTGCACCTCTTGCTGTAGAGCAGCCCCTGCAGAACAATAATACCCGTCACGTGTGGCTATTTAAGTCCATTAACAGGAAATAAACATCAAAGCCCCTCCCAGAACCGTGGCCCCTCCCTGCCCACGGGCTCCTTAGCTAAATACCCACTGACTGGCTCTCAGAACCTAGTGCAGAGCGTGCCTGGCACCAGGTAGGTTAGGCCTCTTGGCAACCAGCCGGTAGCTCACCTGTGAAATGGGCGCCTCCCCCAGGGGTTCTGAAAGGTAATCAAAGGTCCGGAGCCTGGACCCAAAGGGAGCCCAGCTCAGGGTCCCCCCGTGTCTGTCCCCCGAAGACTGTGAGCACTGGGGCAGGGAGGGCCAGGGGCTCTGGGGTGAACTGTTGGGAGAACCCAGAGCAGAGTGGCTGAGGCTGCCGTCTCCAAGGCCGCCCTCCATCACAGAAGGCTCTGGAGTTTGGCGGGAGGAGCAGGAGGGCTCTGAGGAGAGAGATCCTTGCATTAAACATTGGGGAGATGAGGGGGAGAGATTAGGCAGAGCAGACACCCACCTTCTTTGAAGGGGAAGGCTGGGCCCCCACAGGGCTGGGGTATTGCCCTGCGCTTCCGTCTCTAAGTCCAGGCAAGAGCCAGCTGGTGTCCAGGGCTGGGCTCCCAGGGGCACTGGGAGCAGGCCACCTCGGGGAGCTTGAACCAGCAGGAAGGAGCATGCCCTCCCAGCACCCGCTGACTGGCCCTCCTTGTGCCCAGGAGGACGGCGGGAGCGTGGGCCCCACGGAGCAGGCGGCCTGGCGGTACTCGCAGACCCACCAGGCCATCCTGGGCCCCTTCGGGGAGCTGCTGACGGAGGACGACCTGGTGTACCTGGAGAAGCAGATCGCCGACCTGCAGCTGCGGAGACGCTGCCAGGAGTACGAGAGCCAGCTGGGTCAGCTGGCCGCAGAGCTGCAGGCCCTGCTGCCCGAGCCCCTGGTTAGCATCACTGTCAACAGCCACTTCCTGCCCCGGGCGCCAGGGCTGGAGGGCGAGGAAGCCCCATGCCCAGTGCCAGAGCCCTCAGGCCCTGAGGTGGCCGTAGAGGCTGTGCAGGGTGGGCAGCCCCTGCCCTTCTGGTGCAGCCACGTGGCGCGGCTGGTGCGAAGCATGTCGCTGCTGCTGAAGGGCATGAACGGGCTGGTGCAGGGTGAGGAGAAACCGGCCGTGCAGCCCCCCCAAGAGGCCAGCAGGGAGGCCCCGGCCAGCCCCCCACAGAGCGAGGCCCAGCGTGAGATCCAGGAGTGTGGGGTGTCTGTGCGGACGCTCCGTGGCAACTTTGAGTCGGCCCCCTGCCTGCCCTGCATCCCAAACCTCGGACCCTGTGAGGCAGGGGCCCCTCCCGGGCAGTGCCCCAGAGCCTACTGGCCCGCCCCTCCGCAGCCCCGTGGCAGTCCAATCGGAGGGGAGCCCGGGCCGGGCGACACCGAGGAGGCCAGCGACTCAGGCATCAGCTGTGAGGAGGCCCCGTCGGAGGCGGGTGCCGGGCACAGCCCTGACCTGGCCAACCTGCGGAAGGAGCGCATCGTCATGCTGTTCCTCAGCCACTGGAAGAAGTCGGCCTAGGGCCCAGGGCCTCCTGTCTCCCGAGCAGTTCCTGCCCCACGTGGACGGGGCGCCCGTGCCCTACGGCAGCCTCACGCTGGACCTCTTCATGCTGGGCTACTTCCAGCTCCTGGAGTGCGACCTGCCCGCAGAGGAGAGAAAGATGCGCCACCTGCTCTGCTTCGAGGTCTTCGAGCACCTGGGCGCCCATGGCTGGGAGGCCGCGCGGGCCTTCCACAAGGCCGTGACCGACGAGGTGGCCTCCGGCCGCCGGGCCTGGACCGATGGCTTCGAGGACATCAAAGCCCGCTTCTTCGGCTCCAACCGCGGTCCCGCCTGGGACGCCGAGCCTGGCCGCAAGTCAGGCCTGACCCCGCTTGGGCCCCCGCCCCACACCTCCAGCCCCAGTGGCGGCCCCGAGCCTGCAGCTCAGCGGCTGGGGTCCAGCTCCCAGCGGGGCAGCTTCAACAGCGAGGACATCTGTGGTTACATCGACCGAAGCTTCGCCTTCTGGAAGGAGAAAGAAGCTGAGATGTTCAGCTTCGGAGACTGAGAGGGCCGGCAGCCCCTTCCGAGGGCCCTGGGGTGGTTTCGGTTCTCTCTCCTCTTGTCCTTTTTCACCCACCTGGTGGCCAGGTGAGCCCGCCAGGCGGGCAGACACTCAGCGTGCCAGCGCCCTCTAGGTCTGCCCTTGAGTCCTTCCTCCTCGGCTCTGGGCTCAGCCTCAGAATCCTCTCACCACCGACCCCAAGAGGCCTCTCCGCTGTCCTTCAGCCCCGAAGTTGACCAACTCCTGTCCCAGCCCCAGGTCCCTCTGCCTGACTGTCCCCTGTGCACCTGGATCCCAGTCCATGTTCTCCGTGGGTCCTCCTCCCAGTGCCTGCGTGTCTGGCCTCGGTTTCTCCTGCTGAGCTCAGGCTGCCCCTCCACGTCCCCTGGCCTCTCT